GAATTTACTCAATCGCTTAAGGCGTATACCGGGCTTGTCCCTAGTTTTGAACTCCCAGACGTAAATGTACAGCTTGTTCCCCTCTTAAAATGTGACTACTCTGTATGTATGTAAATTCAGTTATTGTTACGAATATTGCATCACATGCCGGAATTCGCTGCGCGAGGATTGCGTCATCTGCCGGCGCCCCCTCCCCCTCCCCGAACTGGACGGTTCTGGACTATCCGCGAGCCGCGGGGAAACGCCGCGAATGTGCCGGGTGCCTGGAGACAAGCGCCGGGCAGGTATAAATGCGCCGCTGCCGGCGGCCGCGAGTCAGTTAGTAGAAGAAGTAAGTAGAAGACGTGAGTAGAAGTCAGTGGGTAGTAAGGCGTCAGTGAGTGGCAGAGAAGCAGTCAGTCCGTCAGTGTGTCCGAAGTGGCAGCTGTGCTGTGAAATGTGCATTGCGGTGAAGAGTGGTGCAGCGGTTGAACAGCAGTCAGCAGTCTGAAGTCTGCAGTGGAAGCTGAGCTGTGAAGGGTGCATCGCGGTAAGCAGTGGTGCAGTGGGGAAACAGCAGTCAGCAGTGTGAAGTCTGCAGTGGAAGCTGAGCTGTGAAGTGGGCATCGCGGTAAACAGCAGTGCAGTGGACCCTGGTGTGCGCAGTGAAGTGTGGTCTGCGCAAGGAATTGTGGTCTGCGCAGGGGAATTGTGGTCTGTGCAGGGAATTTGGATCAAGTGCAGTGGACCGTGGACAGTGCATTGGACTGGCTGATACTGTAGAAGAAGAGAACTGTGTAAATAAATAGTGTGTAAGGAGTGAACTGTGTAAATAAATCATCAAGAGAACGGAATCGTGTGTAAAAGAAAAATAATTAATTGTAATATATCTGTAAATAGACCAAGTAGATTTTAGTGTATAATTGTTCCCGAATAAACGTAATTGTTTAAATATTGTGTTAGTTTCAATTCACCACGGAGAAACGTTACATTATTATTATTATTATTATTATTATTATTATTATTTATTACTACACTTAGCTGTCCGGGAGACGCTGCTCGCTAAGCAAAGTTCCTAACGTTTTAGCCGTTACACTGCACCCTTTCTCTGGGCGAAATGGCTACGAAGCAGGGTTTCCTGTACAGCCAGGTATCTATTGTCTTGCCATTCCCTGCTCTACCTCTGCAGAAAGCATTACATGATGCTAAGAAGCTTATCAATCTATATCGCTTCCCAACAGAACATTCCAGCTTCGCAGTTATGAGTTTAGCGGCGCAACCTTGCGCCCCCAGCCCAGGAATCGTCTTCTGGGGCGACCCCCGAACCAGAGACGACATCTAGACAGAACTGTGGTAACCGTGGCGGCTTGTACTTACTGACGGCGGTAAATGCGACAAGAAGAAGACAAAGCAATAGTGAAATTCCGGCGATTTCGTCTCAAGAAACCGAGCTGTTATACAAGTGAGGGTGTTAAAGTCAAAGTGGTGTAAGTCCTGTTTTTAAAATAATTGAGTCAGTTTCTGAAGTACTATATTCAGTTACAAAAAATTGTATTTCAGAACTTAACTCAATTATGTTTAAAACATTACTTACACCAGTTTGGTTTTAACCCTCTCAAATATGTACTAGATATTCGGTATTAACAAACGAAGTAGACGAAATAGATAGGCAAAGCCAAAATAATTATAGTTTTAATTATTTTTTATCACATACTACAGGTATGATGGCTTTCAATATAAACGTAAGTGTATTATGGAGTGGTACGCGCGCAGGACTCTTCTGGGCAGTGACAATTCACGAAGACGTCGGATGACGTTCCTGCAACCGATCGCAGCGGCCCTGGAAGCGAAGAAGTCCGCATTTCCATGCCTCAACTGTTGAAGGCAAACACATTTTCAATTTTATACTTTGGGATTATAAAATGTTTGCAGTTCTCGGAATTACAGCAAGTTCGTGAAAAAAGAGACTAGCAAAATTTTTTACCGTCTTTTAATAGATACAAGTATAACATTTAAAGAAAAGTTTAGAACTATTTTTGAAAAAAAAAATGTTTTAAAAAATTAAAAATTGCCTATATTTTGCGCACAATAACGCAAACACTACCCCAACCCAGGATTTCCAAAACTTACGAGCGAATCAGCGTGGCCCCGGGGCCCGGCGGCTGTTCTAGGCGGAAACCCTGGAGCCTCTCTGTTGGGGCGGTGGCTGTAGACGTAACCATGCGTGTACCAGGGAAACATTCCGAGGCGTCGACTAATTTTGGATATGTTGTTATATGACACGTATTTTTTATTATGTTAAGACATTTTTTTTGTTTCGGCAGGTAAACGTTTTAGAGTTAAAATAATCCTCCCAAAGTGACAAACTCACGTAATAATGTGATTTTCCTATTCCGCATAGAAAAATGTATTGACCATTGTGTCAACGGTAGGTCGGCGCCGGATCTCGCCAACCAGCGAGGGAAGACCACCGCCAACTCCCGAGCAAAGACATGCACTACACTTACGTAACTAATGTCATTAGCAGTTGACGCACTCGAAATCACTAGTAGTCAATTAATCAATTAATCAATCAATCACAAATGACCCTGGTGAATTTTCATGGTCATAGTGATACTGCGCCGACCAACCGTTGGCTAGCGGGGTTTTCCCTAACCAGGTATCTCCCACAAGCGGGGCACCGCCCCAGCCGGGACAAGCTCTAAGCTCTCGATCGCTCTCCCTCTATGTATGGTAGTGTAGTGCATGTATGTGTAAGTGTGTGTAAGGGGTGAAGTTAGGACAAGGAATGGCAGGAGAGGACTCGCGCGGTCCATGGAACATTTGTAAGAGCACTGCTCAGGCAATCGCCTGGAATTGATCGGAAAACCTACGGAATCACCACTTCCACCTATCAGAGCAGCCGGGCGCTAGGGTCCTCCAGACATCGACATAACTCGACCTAGCTATGAGGCTAGTGTCGTAAATCCTGCCATAGTCGGGACTCAAACCCCAGGACCTCTCGGTCAGAGGCACAGCAGTGACGTTAGTCGATGCTCTATGCCACCTCTCCCAGTCAGTGCCATTTTTACTGTTCGATTTTATAAGGGATAAAATACTCCAAAATTTAAAAAAAATCCAAAATGCTTTTTCAGTGGAACCGATCAAAAAGATAAAATTCGTGGGAAAATATGCTCTACTGCTTTTGGAAACCAAAATATGTTTTCACATTTTTTTAAAAACGTATTTTGTGTGCAACAGCTTTCAAAGTCAAACAGTGATTTTCTCAATGAAAAATGTATTTTTAACACGAAAAGATATTGAAAATATTGTATTGGATATATACTACATAAAAATCCTCTATTGAGAATATCTAACATTTTATGTAACAGGTTAAACCATTGCGTTGTCGCTGCTGGTTTCCTTGACTGTCATGTTCTCCGCGCGTGACGGCTGTTGTTACAGAGGTGGTAAGAATCCATGTGCTTATTGCTCTGCTTCATAATTCATAAAATTGCAGTAATGATATTTTTATGATTTGAAACAATTCATTTTTGCACCACAAACTGCGAATCATTGTAACATTATTACATTCATCAGTTACAGTGTACTGACGTACAATTTCCACACTATACTGGGCTTTCAAATTTTTCTGGGCACTCATTAATGTAGATACTTTTATACCATGAATGTCGGAAAAGATTGAAAAATCGTGATGACTATTGATTATGGGTCAATGACTCCATGATTATTAAGCCATTTCGTAAATGCACATTGATTTTAAAGAGAATGACAATTGTCTGTAAAATGTTGAACACACTTATTCCAAACTCTGAATCTGGATGTAACTTCTCTCAACCATGTTTTGAAATGTCCCGAAAAAATATTTGAAATAAAAAATATGTACAATTTTCTATGATAGGTTTTGAACTGTGAATATAAATTAAAATAACAGTTCTTAACCACAGACAATAACAACGAATAAAAATTATATTTAGTACACCAATTCACCTGATATACGTATTTTGATGCTCTGAGAAGAACATTTGATGGTCTAAATATTTTCCCCTACATTTTTAATTACAAATTCGTATTTTATTAATGGCGAGTTTTCAATATTTAACACTTAAAAAGTGTTCGGAGCATTGGGCAGATTAACTGTCATTTTCACACCACAATACCTGCACAAACCTACAAACTTCAATGGTTGTGACGATAAACTAAGACATTTCTGAACTGGAGCAAAGATTAGGTACTTATCCCCACCAAACAGAATTTTCCGAATTATGAAGAAGAGCAATAAGCACATGGCACCACCCGTACGTCAAAAGCCATCAGGCTCGGAGACCTAAGAAGCAAATTCAAGAGAAACAGCAGTGACCACGGTTTGGTTTAATATATTTACATCGAATGTTGGACATTCTTAATAAAGTAATTTTGAATTTTTTTCTTATAAATATTAAATATTATGTTTGCAACGCGCTGCTATCGAAAAATACATTTTACATAGACTTAATTACTTTATAACTTAACTTGCTTCAGTTAGATCCTACAACTCGTTTTTAGAAGACAAAATATCAACGCACAAATATTTGTTTTAAAAAAAGAAATATAAGATACCCCCCAGAATTTTACCTTTTAATTTTGTCCAGATCTGAACCTATTTTGGAATGTTATTTTGAATTTTAAATTACTTTATATTCCGAACACAAAGTCACTCAAGTTCATTTTCAATGCTCGTTGGTTCTCATAAATGTTGTAATATTATTTGTTCAGAAATGTTACATTTTTTCATGAGAAATTGAAAATTCACTTCCTTACAGCCTCACTTTCGAAGGGCACTTTAACTCCTGAAAACATTTGTGTGCCGAAACAAAAAAAATCGTGAGTTTATTTCATCCCCGACAACACATCCACAGTTCATCAAAAGCGGAGAGGGGCCCTTCGGAATGTCTCCTTGTAAGTCGGTGTAGCCGGCCCCAAGGGCCTGTAGTGAGCGAGGGAAAATGGCAGCGGGGCGCAGGGCAGTGGGGGTGGCTCACCGTTGATGTAGCACACGTCCCCGTTCTCCAGCGTGCACTTGCTGAGCTCCTGCAGGGGTTCTCCCTCCTCGGGCGGCAGGGCTGCAGCGTGCTCCGAGGGCCACGCGAACCGCACCTGAAGCACCGTTGCCAAGGAGCAAGTGAGAAGGTCATTCAAAAATCCATGCTCACAAATACAAGAACGGCTCAAACATTATAGCCACATGTACAAGTACAATAAGTGCTTGACTTAGAGACTTTTAGGTCTCGGAACGCGCACCAAATTAATTATAAATGTAATGTGAGAGTTGATGATTTTGTTAGATATCCACGACCCCTTGGAACAGTTTTGATTTTGACTGAAAATGCAAATATTCGGTTTTTCTACCAATTCTAAGACTCATTGGGTCACAGATTACGACAATGCTGACGTCGTGCGATAGCAAGCCCCGAAGGAATAGGCCGCCCGCCATTAAATATTCACGATTAAAGTGTTGCGTTTTGGAACAGAAACATTTTTATGTTCCTGCTATGTACAGATCTTTTGGGGTGAACAGACACTATACTAATATCATTACAGTATTTGTAAAGACTGTGTTTGTTAAAATATTTCATTTATTGCAGTGTGTGTGCTACTATTTGGAAAACCATTTTGTGTGGTTCAGCAACACTTTTTTGTGCTGCAAGTCACTAGTGATTAATACTCTGGAAAATAGGGCACTTCATCTAGTATTCAATATTCCTGAATAACAGAAAGAGATTCCATATTACTAGTAAGCCGGACTTGGACTTTTAGAAAAACGTTTCAAGCTCTTGTGACACATTGCAGTTACCACAGATTGCAAGGTCAAAATCAACACACCAGACAAGATATCCCAGATTATTGTTGTCATAGGTATCCCTTCAGTCAGAAATATCGCCGCTTCAGTTGCCGAAAATATTAGACCTTGGCAGATAAACTGAGCTGTTATGTGGCGGTTAGTACCGCCGGATGTGATTCCTGAACTTTTCTCTGCAAATGGACTGTTCTCTAATAAAAATGTTTGTCATCTGCTGCGATACTTAGTACTAAAATCTGGCGAATACAGATAATGCAGAAGGATGTTCTCTTAAACATTGCGCGTAACGTGATATCCAGAGTATAGACTTGACATCACGTTTCAATCCGTGTGCGCCGGAACTTGCTGTCGAGGACTCTTTGACTCTTTGTCTTAAAAATGTGCGGTGACCGTTGTAAAGCACATCGCGAGATACACAGCAGAAATGTTACATATTTGTATGAGTATAGTTAATGACATAATACATTTCCATAAGAGAGAAGACCGGATTGAATTTACACCACAGAGACTGAATAATCCTACCACAAAATCCAACTGGGCAAAATAATTAATTAATACTAAAGTTCTGATTATTGCGGGCCGTTTAAAAAAGCCTACCCTCGATTATCGGTCTGAAGTGGTTTTCCGTTGCATCCGATAATTCAATTTACTAAATATGAAAAACAATATTTATCTACCAGGAACGATTCGAACTTTATCGTTAAGACAGATCAAAACAACAGATTAATTTGTAACTCGAAAATATTTATTTCCATATAGAAGCTCCAGAGGGTTTTTAAGACAAATGCAAAATACTTCGAAGTTTTTCCTGTACATTTACGTATTATTTGCATAAATTCTTTGTGTTCACAATAAAACGGCTGCGCGGCCACAATGTTCTTAACATTTGCTATTATTATTATTATTATTATTATTATTATTATTATTATTATTATTATTATTTACTAATATTATTATAGCTTTTCGAATGGTTTACAAAGAAGCTTTCCGTGATGCGATTCCGAGTTCTACACCCGGTCGGGGCAAAAATAGAGTTGTAGCTTTCCACTATAATTGTCTCAGTTTCTTTAGCTGCATGACGAAAGAAAAAATTCAGTTACGCGCAATAAAATAGATACGGTATTGGGAATTTGCCACTTGTGTCCTCCACACATGGACAATAAATAAAAACAGGGTCCAGACTTGGGGACACCGCTAGCTCTCGAAAGTCTGATTAATTCGACCCTGAAACGCCAAAGAAGAAGATTATGATGATTGTGGTGGTGATGATGATGATGATGATGTTGATGCCACTCACCTCACACAAGGAGCCCGCCAGGATGCGCATGACGCAGTGCGCGCCGGCGTGGTCGTGGATGGCCGAGCCGTGGCCCTCCGCCCAGCACAGCAGCATCAGGTTGTAGCGGCCGTCGCCCTCGTCCACCAGGTTGCGCGTGTACCTGCTCAAGCAGACGCAGCGATGAGACCCCATCCAAAAATACATCCAGTATTTCCGAGAATCCGACTTATTAGTACCCTCAAAGTCCAATTTATCTGCGAAACGACTGTTGTAAAGACATTATTTCTTTTCAGGTGTTTCAGTGAAAGCCATACACTAGCAAGCACTTTTGCTGAAACTACCCACTTTTATTATTAGATTGTTTCGAGATTCCGGGTGCATCAACTACTATGATCACCACTCCCGTAAGTGTAGTTCATGCTACATCACGGGAGGTGGTGTTCTTCCCTAGCTGGATGGTGAGATCTAGCGACGACCTACACATAGGTTAGTGGGGTTTATCCCATCAAGGAATCTCCTACCAGCGAGGCACCACTCAACCAGCTTCAGACTGTTCCTCCGACATGTGTGAAAATGTAATGTCAGAGCATGCAAGAGTCAGTAAGGGTTGAGGGTACAACAAGGAAGAGGAAGGAAAGATCATGCATGGCCCGTGGCCCGTTAGAGTACTGCCCCAGCGCTCGCCTGTTATTGGCTTATGTTGATCGGAGAAACCACGGAAAACTAACGATCTGATCAGCTCTCTGCTAGAATTCTCTGATATTTACATTCTAGCTGAATCCGTGAGAAACTTTCGCACACGTGAGCTCGATTGCATGGTTTCACGACCAGTGAAGGCTTTCTACACTTGGAAATCATCTCATTGACCTACAACATGCCTCTGCCAGTGTTCCCAAATCATATCGTGTTATTCATAACTTCTTGTATTCGTAGCATATCGTTAATAGTTTTTTTCTAGGGACCTATTTCGTCAACAGTACCCTCCCTGTTCTCGCAGTAGTGAGTCGATTTCTTTCCACGGGGCACGATAAGAGATAAAACCCAAAATTTCTAACTCAATGCCTTTAAAAGTAAGTTTGAATATACGGGAGCGAATATTTATCGCTAACAAATTATACCCAAAACATTTTTTCTTTACTCAACTCTCATAGTAAAATATCGGGTGTAGGATTTTGAGAGCCGTAGAAAATGTGGCAGAAACTACTTTCTGCTTCTTCTTACGCCGTAAATTCATTTAACTATTTTTAGTATTAAATAAATAATAAATATGAAATGATTCCTTTTCGTTTCATAATATCACTTTTTCTTATGGAATAAATAGTCAACAATGGTAATCTACGACACGTAAGTTACAGTTACAACGATAAAATACTATGTACGTAAGTGACATTATACTCATTAATTATTTGACTGCAAACATTTAGGCCTATTTAGAAAATATTATATTTGTTAATAAGATTTATTTAGTTCCCCTTTCACGTAGAATAAAAAAAAATACACATAATATGAAGTTATGAAGAAATATGTTTGATACTTTTAATTTGCTAACATGTGAAATGGGTAATTTATTCTACAATGTGTTTGTTATTTAGGCCCATTTGCTAGTTTGGAATGTAATGAAATAAGTTCAAAAATAATGCAAAAGAAACAACTAATGCAGGAGTATATTATATTTCAGTTTCTTTTTGTTTTATTCTTTGTAAATAAACACGGACGACACCAGTACCGACCAATTGGAAGCGGTAACAACACAATAAAGGAGAGATTACTGGGGGTCCGCTACGAACATATAGAAATTAGTGGTGCAACTGCAGCCCATACTTTCTCGCATTATTTGTAGCGGCTCCGCAATATTATACTACTACATGATCCTGCAAAACTGGTTCCAAAGGGCATAAAAAATGTTTTCCCCGACGAGACTCGAATTCACATCCATCGAGGTAACACGCCGTGTGCTTTACTGCTACACCACGTACCTCCCATTATTTCCAATTCGCAATTTTCGAAAATTCAGAGAGTTAGAGCGAAATGAGGCCTTTGATTATCTTTTAAGCATCCCTTGTTTTATCCGTGGCGAAAAATTAAAGAAAAAAATTGAAGTGTTTTTTGAGAAAATACTTTTTTTTTAAATTGCATTAACTTCAAGCACAAATTACGTTAACACTCTTCTTTATAAAAAAATGTACATGACCTTTTTCAAAGATCTGATATGCAGATAATATGCTGATAAGACAAACACCTCTATGTTCAATTTTGAATTGTTATCTTTTTGCAATTTTCAGAAATACTGAGAGTTCGTTGGAATCGGGACCAGCTTCTCACTTTTACCGACCTTTGATACACTCCAAAAGAAAATTTGACCTTGTTTCAAGATTTGCCTTTAAAAATAGATTTCTTACAAGAATAAATCTCTATCTTGAATATTGTAGTTTTAGGAAGGCACTGAAAAAACATTTGAAATTTTGCAAGTTTCGACAAATCAGAGATTTTAGAGTTAGTGAGACCTACACCATTCTCTTAAGCATCCTTGAGGTGTCCGAGGACAAACTTGAATCCAAAACTTTGGAGTCATTTTTAGAAAATGTTGAAAAGGATTCTTGTGTAATACCCCCTACTTAAAAATCAAAATATTCGTTTCAAATTCCGAGCGTCTCGAGTTCATTGAAAGCCATTGAGAAATGTCAATTTTGGATAAAATCTAGTGCCCAGTTTAGGCGGTAGCGTTGATTGCAGTCTGACAGACAGACAGACGTTTTTCCGTCATTAGATTTTTCGGTATCAAGGACCCACAAAACAAGAATTTTGACTATAGAACGTACTATATAGACTATAGAGGAAGTCATGTACTATACATAGGAACAGGAATTATCCATTTTTTGTTACCAGGGCTAGATAATAAGAGTTCTTTTTATCGAAAAATCACTGTTTTCTTGAGCACGATTACAATACTTTCTTTTCTTGGGAAATAAAGGCGAAAACCTAACAATCAAGGCTCTAAAGCATTTTTTGAGGCTCTAAAGCCTTTCACGTTATGTATTAAATGTATGAATTTCTTCTCGTGAAATTTATTACGAATTATTTTATTGGGAAAAAAGTAATTAGTACACATTCTCTATTACTCACTCTGCATATCTATGTCTTGAAACACAATATTGATGAGTTATCAAACTATGTTTATTGTAATAGTACTCATGACACATGTAGGCAAAGACGACTGCTGCGTCGGCACATTGCTGCGACTGGTTGTCATTTGACTGGCCCAACAGTACCACCGCGACGGATACTTGGCAGACTGGCTCCCCTGCCTCAACTTCTAGGAAAACCAAGCTGAATCACGCATACCTGACGTACCTCGCGTCTTCAAGCACTCTCTCTCACCAACACTATTCCTTGAAAGACTGGAAGTTGGTATTTCAGTGATTGTTATAAGTTAATATATAATAACAGCTAAATTAGTGAAACCTACATATTATTTTTTATTATTATTATTATTATTATTATTATTATTATTATTATTATTATTATTATTATTATTATCATTTTATTGAACGTGTTTAATGTTTGGATGAACTCGTTCGATGGAGTAATTTTTGCCAACTACGACTACAAATGCATAATTCGTTTTTCCAAAAATTGCTCAAGGGTTGCGTTCATCCTGTCCCCTTGTACTGGCAGGGAAATAAACTGTCTGGTGTGATTTTGTTGCCTGCCTTGAGCCAACCGCGGCCATGGTAAGAGGGTCACTATTTGAACCATCCAGGCAGTGCCGATTTGGATTGACTCCTATGCTGTTCATTACGCTCAGAATGAGACAGTGTTTGGGAAGACAGCCACGAGCAACTCAAAGACCCCGATCGTGAGAGCCGGGACAAGCTCTAAGCTCCGTATCGATCTCCCGGTGTGTGTGGTAGTGTAGTGTAAGTATGTGTAAGGGCTGATGGTAGGAAGGAATGGGAAGGAATGATCGCGCGTGGTGCGTGGCCCGTTTGGCAGGGTACTGCTCCGGCATTCACCTGGTGTTGATCGGAGAAACTACGGAAAACTACCGATCGGAGCAGCCGGCTGCTAGAATTCTCGTGAGCGGCAGGACGCGACCTCGCTATCTGGCTCGTATCCCGAGGCCCGGGAGCTCCCGGTCGGAGAGGTGTCGGAAAGGGGCGCGGTCCGCGGCGCAGCGGGCGGTGGCTCACCTGTAGCGGTCGAACTTGGCGAAGGGCTTCCAGTCGCGCGGCGACGCGGGCTGGTAGGCGGCCATGAGCGCCTGCAGGCGCTGCGGGCACACCACGTCGCGGCCCTCGAACTCCGCGCGCAGCAGCGCCGCCAGCTCGCTCAGCGTGTGGATGCGGCCCGGCTTGCCCGCCCACGCGCGCAGCCCCTCGCCCTCCGGCGCAGTCTCGCCCCACGGCTGCACCAGCGCCGACTCCATGGCGGTGTCTGCGCGCGGCCCGCCGCCCTGCGCACACCCGCCGCGCTCCGGTCGCTCGCCCTCGCTGGCCCTTCCCCGCCCCGCCGCGCGCCGCGCACGAAGGGGTACATAATCGCCTCTGCCGGGTTAGAAAGGGTGGGGGCATCGCGCAACAGTTCACAGCGGGCCGCTGCGGGTCGCTAATCTCAGGACTGGTCATGTTAAAAGACGTTTATAATTATAATTATATTATTAATTATTACAATTTATTAGGAGCGAAAAATGTAATATATTATCAATGTCTGGGTGAAACAGCTAATATGACTATCATATTTAGTTCTGCGTTGGAGTAACCCTTCCATAGAGAAAATATGGCGTCAATGGTAAAGGCATAGCCGTAACGTCAGCGGTCGTGAGTTCGATTCCGAATCGCGTGGGGATTTTTATTTCACTAAGGTGGACTCTTACTTCCTCACACTACTTTGTAAGAAGAGAACGTATCGTAATTTCGCGATTTTTTTACAAAAAAACTATAATTGCCGACCTTTCTTACGAAAAGTGGATGAATCTTGTTTCTGTAAGAATTAAATTACTTCCTCTAAAACGTGTTGTCAGAATCCACGTTCAGTGAGTTCTTGATACTGAAGAATCTATTGACGGCAAAACGTCCATCTATCTGTGGTCTACGCTAACGCGTATACTGTTCTGAGGCTTTTCTCCGATATGGTATTCCCCTGTTGATGTGAGGGAACTCGAGGCCCTGCGAGTTAGAAATGGATATTCCGGTTTTTGCAGTACTTTATATGAATCTTCAACATTTTCTCAAACATTACTCCTCATTTTAACGAAAGTTCGTTATTGGACAACTTAAATACTCATAAAAATGCCGAGGGGTCTTATTTTCGTTGAAGTCCAAAATTTTTCGAAAATGGCAAAAGTTCAAAATTTTCGGTGTCTTCTTACAACTTCGAAAGTGAAGAAATATATTTTTCTCAGGAATAAAATCTGTAGTTCAAAGATACGTCTTGAAATGAATCCATGTAACATTTTTCGATATTGCGTAATTTTCACGTTATTTTGCTTGAAATGTAAGAAATTTAAAACAATTGATTTCGCATAAACGAAAAAATCTTTAAATTTTGTCCTCGTATGTATGAAACAGGCGGTAAAAAATTGTGCTGGCTCCATTTTGACGAACTCTCTGCATTTTCGAATATTGCAAAAAATTAACAATAGTTCAATATTTTGGTCTTAAATGAAATCTGTTTTAAAAACATATTTTTATGTACAATTGTTTTGAAAAAATGAGTGGTTTTCGGGTAATTTCTGCTTGAAGTTAATACAAAAACATGTTCTTATAAGCGGCATTTTTTCTTTAATTTTTTTCCTGCAAATAGAGCAAACTCACGCTTAAAATGGCGCAGATTGCATTTTCATTGAACTTTCTGTATTTTCGAAATTGGCAAAAGTAAGAAAAATAAGAGGAAGCCTGCACTTGTAGCGTCATTATTTTTTATTTTGAAATAAAAATGTGCAGAAAAATAAGTCTCGTAAAGATTAGAGGTTAATATATGTTAATTGTGAAGGTCTAAATCCGGAGCCTCGTAGCGAACTCGAAAATGCGCGGGGAAATATCATTGAGGTCTTCAAGGTATTGTGGCATAAAAATAGTCAGAAAGTGGCCCTTGAATGTGACGATTTGAACAGGGACGAGAACTAAAATTGAGAATAATTATGTCGAATACATAAATTAATTATTTATGAATCAACTCTTCTGTAAATGAATTATTTGTACAAATCGCCAGGGCTGGATTCCTGACGAAACGCGACGGAATGGCGTTCCGGTAGCTCGAAAATAATTATTACATTATATTTTAAATATAAAACTATTTGTATTAAATTAATCATTTATTTGGGACGTGTACCGGGACCTAACAGTTTGTAAATCAAGTACTGCAAATCGCTATGAACCATTCCCTGTGTCTCACCACCAAACCAATCAGAGAGCAACATTTGGGAAATGGGGCGTGAGTTTTAGATATACGCATTGGCTTCCACAAGGAGATCCAACAAGACCGCAGCTCAACCACAGTGGAGACAGTTTACGGATCTCCTTTGGACCCTCAACATTACATATACCATGTTATGAAAGCTCTGAAGATAATAAGAAAAAGAAACAACCCGCATGGGTGCAATCTTTACGCGCAATTGAATTAAATCTACTTTGCTGTTAATTTAATATTATTTTGTAGCTGATAAAGGTAACATTTTAAAAATATATTAGCAATTTTTAGCTGCCTCTCTTCCTTTCTCTCTTATTCGGTGTGATCTTCCTTGCGACAGTATACTACGCGACGGTATCATAGTAAACCGTAAAGTTTCGAAGGCCTCGCAGCTTGCTGTGGCGGTGGCCTCTTCTGCGATACATTGTCTTAAATGAATGGGATTTGCGCGAAACGAAAATGAGAAAAAAAAGCACGTCGCTTCTCTCTAACAATGGGAGTTGGAGTCAGGATGAACAAGGGACAATTACGCGAAGATGTGTCCCTTTAAATCGGAGATCTACTTCGCCATTCGTCGATCGATCAGAGCAGATTTATCTTATGCGGCTGCAGAGGGCCAATGGCCTAGCTAGAATATTTTTTTAAAAAAAGATCAGAGCAGGTCGATCAGATCATCCACCGATCAGAGCAGTTCATCTTCGCACACAATCTCTTCAGGCGATATAAACGGGCTTGCCTTCTAGGTATCGGTCCTCGCCATCGTTAACAAAAATATGATTTGATGGAGTCAATATTACACATTTCTAATGCGCGAAGAAATTGAAAGAAACTATGCAGCTTCGGTGAGAGGTTTCTGATATGGTTTTATTAGCTACAAAGGAAGTAGGAAGGCAAAAACAATGAAACATTTTAGATTTTGACTGAAGAATACAAATATTTGATTGTGTAATTCTGCCTTTTCTCATACTGTATATACCGATTGAATTTTTATACAATTTATATCAATTGATTGTTAGTTACCCATTTCTTCCACAAGTAACGCATTTCTTTATGGCTATCTACGAAATTGAAACGTTCTCTAAGGTAAGAAAAGAGAGAATAATCTTTCTTTTATATGCTTGGTTATATTTTGGTGTTTACTCACGAAATTGTGATCCCACGACAGACCGTCCGGTCTAACAAGCTGTTCTCTGTGTTAACCATACAGCATGTTTAGAACGGCCTAAACTCATACGATGGTATAATACATTGGTGTAAAAACAAGGCAAATTGGAAAATGTGAATGAACATGTCTACTTAAATCGTGAACCGCTTTTGACGTGTTTCGAATTTTAGTTGAAATATTGACTGGAGCAGTAAGGATTAAAATAGCATGCTTCTTCCAAAATTCCAATATGCTATTCTTCCCTACTACTAAAATTATTTAATGTAAAACGTTGGCATTTGAAACACGTTTTGATAAGAATATGAAAATTCATTATGGACAGTTGTAGTATCTTTGAAAGGACGTAGCTGTAACGGCCGCTTCGCAATTCGGCGCGGACGGGAACGCCAACACACGACGTGGACGCGAACGGGGACAGGAAATGCGTCCGTTGCACAGGAGACGTCGACGGGAGGAATAGCTCTATGTAACGGGAGAGAACGTCTGTAAACTGTTGCCGAAACCAACGCGCTCCTAGCTACACTGCTCTTGCCACTCTTTAGTTCGCCATCTGTTTACTTGTGAGTATCGTCACGTCGCGTTTCTGGAATTTGTTGCTGTGCGCTTTCGTGCTGCCATCCCCGTTTGTTTAAATTTATTCTTCATTTTCAGTTATTTCATGTTTCCACATTATCTCGTCTTCCTCGTTATACCATTCTAGAGTGTAGTTTAAATAATTTTCAGTTCATTTCGAATTAATCTCTTCCCGCAATTCGATATTGTTGCTTTTGTGTTGTTCTATATGTCCATCCCAAATCCACGCCCTAATCTCAATAGCGCGCTCTGCTAACAGCTCCAGTTCGATGTCGCGCGCTTGAATATTCGTTCCTTGGCTATAGTTCCGTTCAGCGGCGTAACTTGCAGGCCCCAAGGTCCGCAATGCGGCCGGGCCCTGGTAAAAGAGCGCCTACTGTTAAGCTGAAGGTTTTGCGATTGTAAGAAATATTAATTACTTGATACTTCTCTGATTCTTCGCGATAGTTGATGCAATAAAAGATTAAAAACAGAATCTTCCAAAATAATTTTTTTTTCTGCTTCGGTAGCTCACGTAACCCTGCTTTTAAATCAAGAAAGGTAAGCAATTCATGTAGGTTTTATAACAGTCTTAGTTTCATAAAATTAAATAATAAATGCAGATTTTCCCGCTAATGGCTATTAATCGTAGACCGATGAATTCGAATTTGTTGCAAGATATTTTTATTATTTAAGGTACTACACTACTGTAGTCTGTTACAAAGGGAGCTCAGATGAGTTTTGCGAGCGGGCCCGTACTCATTTCATTACGCTACTGCTTACATTGGCCGCAAGCCATCACGTCCCCGGCACAAGATGTATACTGACGACCCTTCCCGCTTGCGTTCCTGTCCTGTTTTGAACGCTTGTGTGGCATTTTCAAGGTTTATTTCCATTCCCATTTGCTTAGCTGTTCCCGTTCGCGAGAAATTGTGAAGGGGTCTTCAAAACATTAAAATTAATGAAAAACGCGCGTTTCTTCACCTGAACAGTCGGCCATCTTCATTAATTTTTCATTCTCTTTCATCGGAATGCGATATTTAATTATTAATTACTAGCGAATTATTCTACATATCGAAACTAGTGGTGCTACAGAATGGTACAGTTATTTTTAATAATTTCTTTGGTCTGGGATAGCTTTTTGATTTTGCCCTATCCTCTTCCCTACTGCCATCTATCGCCGCCCGCAGTAACTTTATTCACATTTTCTCAATTTTTAGGTTCCTTAATGATACAACTGAAATACGATGATAAGAATATTATAGAAACGTGAAACGTCATCTTATTTAAAATATCTTCGTTCAAAAATCTGGGGCAGTTTTTGAGAG